CCAAGACCTACGAATTGGTCTTACAACGATGCCCAGCCAGTAGGAGTAAACCACCCCGCCGGCCAAAACCTACGAATTGGTCTTACAATCGGGGATCACCAGCCAGAACCTACGCCCTGGTCTTACGGCTCTCAAGGGAGACTACCCAACGGTTACGTTCTATAACTACGGGGATAACCGTTCGGTGGCCGATACAGCTCACACCGAAGGCTACATGATTCACATGCATACTTTGATCATACCATAATTAAAACAGTAATAACATTTAAGGCATAGAAATTTTACAATTACAACCCACCTGGAAATTCCGGTAGAAATGGCACACAAAAGTAAGCACGTAGGATGAGGCTCGATTCCTCAAACACCTACATTTAAGCGAGATAATTATCAATAATTTATCTCACTACTCGAATTTAATATAAAACCCATACTTAATAAAAATTAAGTTTTACAGGTTTTAATCGGATTTTTCGTGGACTTGGAACTCTCTCATTTTTGAAGAATATGACTCGGAGAAGTAAATTGGGGTCTCGGAACTTAAAATAATTTTCCAAAATTTTTCTAATTTTTTAAAATATTTTTAAAATTTAAATTGGTATTAAAAACGGGCTCCGGAACACAAAATTTGGCTAAAAACCGAATTGGGCCGCACTGTTTAATATTTAACCAAGAATTTCTTATAATTGGGCCTGAGGTTGCTGAAATTGGGCCCAAAAGGGCTGGCCCAAGCTTAAGGCACGCGGGCTGAATGAGGGCCGGACGCGGGCTGAGGCTGAGAGGGGATTCGGGCCGCGCGGGCCGGAATTCGGGCTGTGAAGCCCGCGCGCCCTGCTGCCTTATTTTTTTTAAAAAAAAATATGTTTCACAAGTGCTGGGAGGGAGAGTCGAACCCGCAACCATGCGCGAGGAGACAAGGCTCACGGCCACTGCGCCATTCTCCAGTTCGTGATATTTCATGAAAATATAATATACTTAACTTTAAAAATGTCTGCGAATTTACACAAAGAACAGAAACTGAAGTTACAGAACAGAGGTGAAAAATTTTGAAAGGACAAGTTTGTTCGGGACACAATACGGCAATTACACGGCTCGAAAAACGATAAAACGAGACTCAGAACTTAAAGGATTTTACCACATCTACGCAATGATATACCCGTTTATGAAATCGAGAGTTCCGATCATTTCCGAAAAACCACGAATAAACGACATGTACATATGAACAATTAAATGAAACAAAAACAATCCGATTTCAAATCAACTTTCGGTAAACCGAATACATCATATATATAACGTGCTATATATGAAAACGATCGCAATAAAGAGAGGATTCGAATAAGTTACCCGACTTCGGGAAACTACGAGTGATCGAAAGGAAAACGGGCCTGACAACGGGTTAGGAGAACGGCTTCAAAACCCTTGAAAGCTTCCACGGGCACGTCGTTCAGTATGTGTGATCTGGCCACGGTCTGAGCCTCGTCGATAAACGGCCACTGAGACTCCTGTGTGTGACGACGACGGTGAGGCTACCGGAATGAAAGGTCTCGCCGAAATCAATGGTGGACGACTGATGGTGTTGCGAGAGGAAAGCTTCCTCTTCAGTTGTGATAACAAAAAGAAAAAGAGAGGGAGAAAGACGTGATCGGAATTATGAGAGAAGAACTAATTTCTCTTCACTCAATTTCAGGTGAAAGATTTGGGAGGATGAACGTGAGAAATAGGGGAAGAGATTTTACGTTACAGCTTCTCAACATTAAGTGTATTGATGCACAATATTATTGCCATGATAATTGTAATTCAAATTTTCCTTAATGAAGGGATTTTAAAAAATAACAATTGGCCACTAAGACCAAAGAGAGAGAAACGGTTATGAGTGGACGGTAAGGTGCGGGGCGCGGGTTTGTGACGTACGGGCCGAGTTTTCTCGATTCGATATTTACGATATTTCGGGCTCGATTCAATCGCACGGTAAATTAAAATAAAACTAGAACATAATTATATATATATATATATACATATATATATGATACACAATAATTATTAATTTTTAACAATCACATATAAAACACACAATAACATCTATTTAATAATAGTAATATGCATCTAGAAATTTAATAACATTTAGGCATTTAACAAAATAATAATAATAATAATAATAATAATAATAATAATAATAATAAACATTTAAAACAATTAGACAAATAATAAGAATAATAATAATAATAATAATAAAGACAATTAATATTAGCAATAATCAATAATTATCCCCAAATAATCTAACAATAAAACGGGGTATTACATGTTAATAATAGACTTAGGGTTTATTTCTTGCTCCCAAAGATAGGTAAAACAGGTCGACTGAACACACTGGTTCGGGGCGTGACTTAAGGGAACGGCCGGTTTATTCTTGGTTCTCATTCTCTTGGCTCGACTTAGTCATCATTAATAGCTCAGCATCAATAAAATAAACTTGATTCATCCGTACGCAATTAATAAATTACCCGGATAATATATTTATATACACATAATATTTATTTAATATTTACAAACAATCAAACATTTAGACAATTTAGCAATTAAATATAAATTAATAATGATTATACCAATACAATAATATCCGAAAATAAACTTAATAATGGAACGGTTAATTCCGAACTACGCGATTAAACCGAAATCGCCGAACATCGAACGTTTTAAAATAAAACGATCAAGTACTCCAACCTATTATTTAACCCGACATCGTGACTAAGAAAATAAATATAAACTCATAAACAATATTTGATAAGTAAAATATTCCGAGAAATTCTATAAATCGAACGGGGCGTTACACTGGTCGTCAGTCTAGGAGATGAACCAGAGTGGTGCGGAGCGAAACGCCGATTGGAGGGAGGCGACACCAGATGAAATTTACCGCCTAAAGTTTCTGCGAATTTGGTTCAAAACAAATCTCAATGCTAAATAATTGAATACCTCAAAAACTCTTTTAATTGAATACACAAAGATTTTTCACAATTTTAAGACGCCTATAAAAATAGGGAATTTTTAGTGAAAACGTTCTGAAGAGTGTGTTTGCATACAAATATATCTATTAAAAATAAGTTTTTTTTTTTTTTTTTTTTTTTTAATTTTGGAAAAAAAAAAGGTTGTATGGTTAGTTGGTAATGAGATTTTGGTGGAAATTAGTTCAAATAACCTATCCTACATGACAATTTGTTTAAATAACCCTTGACCTAAAATAATTATAAAAAAAAAAGAAAAAAAAACTTCATGAAAAATAATATTTTAAAGACAATTACTTGTATACCCTCACTTCTATTCTCTTCAATAACTTAGAAGAAAAATAAGCAAAGAAACCGATCGAAGCTTGCTATCTCATTCTGCTCTCTCTCTCTCTCTCTCTCTCTCTCTCTCTCTCTCGCGACGAAATTGACATCTCTCTCTCCCTCGTGACGTCTCTCTCTCTCTCTCGCGACATCTCTATCTCGTGCCCGACCCTATGGAGCTCTCTCTCGTCAACTTCGGTACGTATTTTTTCCATTTTTGTCAATTTTTTCTTTTATTTAATTTTCATCTTTTTGAGCCTTTGATATTCCTGGAGTAAGATTTGATTGTGTTATGTGAATTCATGTAATTTTGCTAGTTTTGATGGAATTGAAGATGATAAATTGGTGCACTCTATGTGTTTGATGAAATGCTTGTAGGATTGAGTTAAGGAAATGAAGATAGTACTTGGTTGCACTCTATGTGTTTGATGAAATGTTTGATATGCTATTTGTTGTAACATGGAAGCAATGAAGCTATT